ATAGCTTGTTCGATAACGCTCTGTATTGTTCTGAATATATTGGCTGGTAACTCTGTAAGTGTCACGGTCTCCATTTCATAGATCATCACTGGTAGAAAGCAATTGTTGAATAACTTTTTGTTAATTTACTTGTTTAATTGTGTTTCTGCTGCTGTTCAAGTCAATAAGATTCATCCAGTGATCTCTGCTATTTGATTTTATTTGCCTATTTTAATCGTACGACCTACGTATCTTTAACGTATCTTTAACCATTTCGATGTTATTTCTATGCTATGCTATTGCAAAATTTTGATTAGTCATCAGATTTTTCTTATTTATTTATAATTTATTTTTAAAGCAATTTTTTTAGATTCTCGATTCTTAAGTTCCTTTGATATGCAGAGTAGCTTCTCTGCATTGCTACTTATGCGTAATCTGTCATCGGAAAATCTTAGGTGATTTAAAAATCTGCCATCGACTTCCCGTTGTTCCCATTAAACTTCTTAAACACATCTTTGAATGTAACGATAAAAGTAACTTTGGCACATATGCGTAGTAACGCATACATGCCAAATAAATAGGTTAATTAAATTTGTTACACTTATTTTTAAGTCTACAAATTGTCTGTAGATGTTTTATACTAATTTTCTAAATTCTGATTGTTTAACAGGCTGGTAACTATCGAATTTATTTGATAGTCTGTTGGTAATTATTTTGATAAGCAGTTTGTACAGATATTGTAACAGGTGTCATCATCATCATCCAGCTGTCTTCGTTTAGAGTTGAACGTAAGCCTTCCCTAATTTCTTCCAGTTCTTTTGGTTTTGAGCTTTCTGCTGTCAATTCCCAGCGATTTTCTTGACGTCGTCTGTCTATCGTGTAGGTAGTTCACCCTGCATCTTCTGTCAGTGTGGTTCTCCAGACTGTAATTTATGGGGTCCACTGCTCGTTACTCATTCTAGCCATATAGTCCACTTCATAAGTTTCATAAGTCCACATAAGTTCCACTTCAGCCATCCTATATGCTCTTTGGCATCTGTGACGCCTGTCGTTCTTCTTATATCTTTGTTTTTAACTCTGTCTCTCAGAGTCAGTTCAAGTAACAAGCTTTCCGTTCGTCTTTGGGAAACTCTGAGTTTGGTTGCTGTAGCCTGGGTGAAGTAAAGTGTTTTAGAGCAGTAAGTCATAACTGGAAGCATACATTAGCCAAACGTCTTTTTTTTTTTTTTAATTTGGTACGTTGCCTTCGCAGATGTCTGATAGAGCTTTGTATGTGGCATATGCTAAAGTGATTCTTCTTTGCAGTTCAGAAGTTTGGTTGTTTCTAGAAATTTGGATTTTATGACCCTAGTACTTATATTTATAAACTAATGCTATTTCGTTGCAGTAAACTTTTGGATTTTCGCTTAGTACCATAATATTTGGTATGTATTGTGTCTTTTTAAAATTTATATTCAAACCAACCTCATTACAGGCGGCAAATCAGTAATCATAGTTGCAATCTTTTTTAAGTTATCTGTTATCAGAACAATATCGTCTGCAAATCGAGCAATCGAGCAAATTAGGAGAGTATTTTGTCGTCGACGTTGAATTTTTTGGCTTTTAACTCCAATTTTTTGAAAGTATGCTTCAGAACTGCCGTAAAGGGTTTAAGAGATAACGTGTCTTCTTACCTGATTCTTCTTTTGGTTTTTATACATTTTGTATCCGTGTGTAGTCTTAAGGTCATAGTTGCATTACTGTAAATGTTCGCGATCAGTTTGAAGTTTTGGCTTTTATAATAACAATAAACAAATTACAAATCCAACCGTTGAACGTTTGCAAAATTAATTTTAAGTTTTCATGTTTCGCGCATGGACAATTATTCCCGTGTCGGAAAACCGTCATAGTTATTTTATTTATGCAACGTATTATAAATTTTATTTAACTTTTATCATCGATGTTTTTATTTGGTTTCATATACCTCCAAATGAAGGTTTAATAATACCGCCATATACCTCCAAATTTTATTAGGACTTCCTTTCATGTTCCAATACATTGTTTCTGCTATTTTTGTCCTAATTAGACCTTACCTGTTAACACCCACTACTTAATCTTTTGTGGTCATTTCCGATATTTTGATTTTGTTTTTGTTTGTTTCCCAACATTTTGGCTTATTTGTTTTATTTTGTTTTGTTTGAAAACTAAAATACATGTTAAAAAATAACTTAATAAAACATAAAACTATGTTGTATGTCGACATCTCAAAAATTAATTTTACTAGTTTCTCAAATAACTTATTTCCAAAATATCTTCGAGGTCAAAACTTTTTTTAGATGTGTGTATGAAAAACAGGATTGAAAAGAATTTAACAAATTTTTTTATTATTTGGACAGGTGTATGTTTATGTAATTTTAAAAATATTTTGACGATACAATTCGTCACAGGTTCCTTTCTTTTTATCCATCCATCCCTACATGCATCTTCGTTTATGTTTCTAATGAAAACTATTACTTTTCACAATCGTTTTACCATTTAATGATATTATTTTATTTGTAGTTGTAATACAGTGGTGAGTGCTTTATCATCCGGCTTTTTAACGTAAGAGATAGAAAACACAGTTACCTTGTGAAATAAAAAGAGATGAAACTCCTAGAGGTGGGAAATAATCGATAGAAACCTATAATTTACATTACATTGCATTAATACTATCGATAGTCTCACACCTTTAGACGTTAGCTTCCAGCTAAATCACCTCGGTCATAATTATCATTTGTGACGTCGTATGTGTAACGTATTTCAGTGACATTTTTTAATTTCGCATAAAGTAAAAAATGATTGACCACAATAAAGCAAAAATGTGAATAAAATAAATTAATTAATAGTGATTATTTAATCTAAAGTTTTAAATTATTAACCAAAAATAATTTCTATGATTTGAGGAGTTTCATACACTCTTGTCACGGAAATAAACGTCAGTCCTTCGTGGATTAGTGGTAAGAATTCGACACTGCGACGCAGACGATTAGAGTTCAAAACCCATATGTGGTTTTCTTTTCTTTTTTTTTTTTAATAATTTAAAATTATGCAGAGATCGTTTTGATTTGAATCACTAAATATTTATGTCAGTCGTTACTAGTATTAGAAGTGTTTAAAGTTACACATAAATATTTTTTTGAATTTGAATTATTTTGTCCGTTTTTTCCGTTTTATAACATTGGAATAAGAATAAATTGTAAATAATGAGGTTTTCGAAAACTTGTTACCTAATATGTATAATATTTTCTATTATTTTTTGATTGAGTAAAACAAAAATTTTATCCTTGGTGGGAATTGAACCCCAATCGTCTTGTCAATAGACCACGTGTCTAATAATTACACCAACTCGACATACCATAAATGTTTTCGAACAGAACATACCTACCTTTAGTTTAGTCAAATATTTCAGTTGAGTTATTTTTATTATTAAATAAACTTAAAGATTTATAATTTAAAATCGCTACTAATTAATGTTTTTTACTTTAATTCTTAACTTATTCAATCATTTATTCTTACATCAGAAATTATTAAAATAAAATATTTTCGCGGTCATCCGTATAATTATGACTGAAGTCAAATAGCCACGTCTAAGAACTAGCTATATCTCATTCTTTCTCACAAAATCCATCCTCTATCCTTTCCGCTATTTTGCCGGGTTTTAAAGCGACTTGTAAACACTTAATACTATAATAACGTCTAATTTTTCTCTTATTTGGAGATATTATAGTGGACAATATTTTATACGCTGCATTTAGAAACGTAATTCCTCTCTAATTAGAGCATTCATCGACATATCCTTTTTTGTGTATGGTGAAAAGTATTTCAATATTTTTACCACTAGCAGGAATTTTTATATCCATACCTCTTTTATTTACGAGCTGCTGTAGTGCTATTGTGGTATTGTGGCCACCTTTTTTATATAGTTTAGCTGAGAGATTATCTATTCTGGGAGATTTTTTTCTCGCTAGTTTTCATCAACATTTTCTTTGCCTAATTCTACCTTGACCACTTCAGGACTATTTCGAGCTGCGGTCAATAAAGTTAGAATTGCCATGCTAGTAGCCAACATACGTAACGAATAGGCACCACAAGAAGAATTTTGCCTAATAAGCAGTAATAAAATAGGCATGAGTGCAATAAGAGGAATAAAAGAATCTACTTTACTAGAAAAAAAATCCTCAACACATATATGAAGTCGCCATTATGCTTTGCGACCATCTTACAGAAGGACCGGAAATTTTTAGCCTAGATCTTTGCATTCTGTCAAATGTTTTTAGGTTTGTCCTCTCACATCTACTTCCTAACATAAATTTATTGCATTGTAACTATAGAACATTTGTTAGGCGACAAAAGTTTTTGTTCGGAGACACAGTAGTAAGATCAATAAATGTGACTACCTACGTAAATAATTTCTTCTGTTTCTTTCATTATATGAACAATTTTGCTTGTTTGTTGACAGGTTGTTGCCTCTATGGATCGTCACTCCATCTCTTGGTTAGTTGGCTAACGCTACCTCTTGGTGATATGTCCCTTCTATTTTAGCAAGTTTTTTTTGTCCACCATTCTACTAATATGATTGTCCCATTCTTTTTTTTTATTTAGTTTCTACTCGTTTATATCTTGTACCTTACATTTTTTTCTGATCTCGTCATTCCTTATTCGGTCTCTTAGTATATTTCCTGTAATTCTTCTGAGTATTCTTATTTCTGCTTTTTGCATGACTCTCTGTGTTTTGACTGTGTTGAGTCTTGTTTCTGATACTGTAAATTAAAAATTTACTGTACTTATTTGTAAAGGAGCAGTCTTTACCAATGTGGCAGACAACGCTTAATTTCTCAAGATTCAAGGCCATACCCGAGATACGGTTAAATAATCTAATAAACATATGTATCTAAAATTAAAACTAAAACTGCATACATTTTTATAGTTAGTTTTATTCCACGTCTATGTAATGATTTACTAATTAAGTATTTACACAATTAAAATTTATTTTCGAAATTAGGTTAATTATCTTTTAACCACGTTAAATTATGTCCCATGCCACCATGTAAATGCTTTAGTAGGACATATTTTTCCCCACACAAATTATTATTATCATCGGCATCTATTGAATAAATAATAGCGCCACCAAACTGATTTTTCTTTATGTAGTCTCCCTAAAACAAAAAATCAACTAAAATAGACCACACATAGTATTTTTATAGGTAGGAAATTTCATATCGAACTCGTGGTCACATTTTGGGATGTTAATAGCAATGGTATACATAATAAGATTCCGACTCTATAACAAAAACATACATGATGGTATAGACACAGTATAGTGCTTTAAAAAGAATTCTCTTAAAGCATTATACTGTGGTATAGACAACTTAAATATCAAGAAAACAGTACGTAAATATGATCGTGATGCATTAAACAAGAGAATTTGCTCTCTACAAGGAAAATATGTTTGATAGATATACAGATTGAACGAAATAAATTCGGAACATAGGAATATAATGTATTTCGGCTCAATTCTGCTGTGGGTGGTTGGCCAACAAAATATTGTCAAATAATTATATTATAAAAATCCAATACTTCAGCGGGCTGCTGGATTCTGAACTCATAAAAATTGAAAGCTACACATAAATCTACGATTTATGTTGTCAAACCAGTTATAGTCGAGGAAATGAAGCATTTCAGCTCGCAATTTTTTCGTGCTCCCTGGATTGACTTGAAATTTAACAGAAGGTAGGTAATAGCCTAAGGATCAAAATCTATATCGAACCAAAGTGCACCAAAGCCTAGGGGTGGTTGCCACCCCATCTCCGGGGTGAAAATTTTTTTTACGTTTTAACTACAGGTTTCGATTAAAAAAGTGATTCTAAACAAAAAATGTGCTATACATTTTTTTATAAAAATGATATTTTTCAAGTTATCCGCGATTGAAAGTAATTACTTTTAGACGAAAAAATCCACGTTTTTAATCGATTTTTCGCGAATAATTCGAAAATGGTGCATTTTATCAAAAAAATTGTAAAAAAGGCAAAATACAATTCATTTTTTAAAAAGTTTTTGGGACATAATAGGAACCGAAATACGGCCTATCAATGTTCAGCGGTTTTCTTCAAATGCCAAATTTGAAGATTCAAAATCAAATATCGGGAAAATGGTGTATTTTTGGAAGAAAACTCACAAAACCTTTTTTAAAGAGCATAAATAGACCTATCATAAAAAAGACTCTAGTTCAAAAATTGAGTGAGTTATGATGAAAATAAGGTCAATACCTCATTGTTTACGAAAAAATCGAAACAACACCCTAACCTCCTCCATAATTAAAATCGATCTTTACCCTTCTGAAATTCCCTTGTATTGTTAATACGTCCAAGAAGTTTGACCCATTTAAAATGCTTTGTGTTAGAAAAAGTACAGCTTAAAGCGAGAAACGATTTACAATTTCATATTTTTTACCCTTCTTTTTTTAAATATGCCCGAAAATACTAAATATATGAAAAAAATACAAATTACCAAATTGTAGCTTTTTTAATGACTAAAATTATCCTTCATTTAGATTTGTTGTACAATGAATATTTGGCGAGATATAGCCGTTTAAAGCATCGATTTACAATCAAGCACCATCTTTTTCGAGCCCTTTAAACTCACCCCATTTAAAAACCAAGGGTTCCAAAAAGATTTAATTCACAGATCCTTGTAGCTCTTAAAAACCTCTACAAATCGTTTTTGAAGAAACACTCTATCTTTAAAAATTAAAAGAAATACGTTAAAAAAACCAGTGAATTTTTTTCCGGAAAATTCTATTAGTATAGAACAGTACATTTCTGAGCATAATAATCTACAAAACCGGTATATTAGCTAGTAAGGCGTTATACATTCGAAATTTTAAGCGTTCTTATTTTAAAATCCCATACAACAGAATAAAACATCTGCTCATATGTCTATGGCTTGGCAATGAAAATATTAGAGCAACAGATTGGGGATGGTATTCCAAAGTTGGTTTGTTATTACCCGTACGCATGAACAAACAACCTGCACTCGATGAACTTTTGAAAATTATTTTTTGGCAATGCAAAAAAGGATGCGGTGTTTCATGTGGGTGCAGAAAAGTTGGTTTATACTGTAACTCTACTTGTTCTGGGTGCTCAGGTGAAGGGTGTAATAATAGTCCACCAATAATTGAAGATGAGGATGACATAGATCACGATGAAGATGTAATTGATGACGAATAAAATTAATATTATAATTGTTTTACCTATAAATGTAAATATTTTCTACTATTTATGTAAATGTATAAGAATATAATATGGTGCCTTTTTATGTTGATAAATTTTTTTGTATTTAATTCTACTTTTTTCAATTTATATCTTATAAATTAGTTTATAAAAACTGCAATGTTGTAAAGGGTGATTTTCAAAAGTTGAAAAGTTGCAAAATTTTGGCAAAAAATTGTTTTCACCTATAGCACTCATAACAATTGATTTTTAAGGTTGAAAATGTATGAATTTCTATTTTAAAGTATAAAAAAATCAATATTTAACTAATCCAAACCAAATTTCACTCATCTTAAGATTTATAATATTATTTTACAATTTTTGAAAATTAGGGGTAGTTTTCATCCCTAAGAACAATCAGGGTTCATCGGCATGACATAAACTATAAAGCAGAGGGTGAGTTAAGTTTAAGTCCAAATTTTTATGCAAATCGTTCCAAGGTGAAATCATTTTCTTCGCATTACTAATTTTTTTATATTAATCTCTAATAAGGGCGCTTTTTAAGGGTTGAAATATGATGGAACTTTATTCAAAAGCACGAAACTATCATTATTTAATTAATTCAAACCAAATTTTACCCATATTCAGGTTTAATATGTTATTTTATAATTTTTGACAATTACGGGTAGTTTTCACCCCTGAGAACAATCAGGGTTCGTCGACATGACATAAACTATAAAGCAGCGGGTGAATTGAGCTTAAATCCAAATTTTTATCCAAATCGATCCAAGGCGAAATCATTTTTTTAGAATTAGTAATTTTTTTACATTAATCTCTAACAAGGGTTGCTTTTTAAGGGTTGAAATACGATGGAACTCTATTCAAAAGTATAAAATAACCATTATTTAACTAATTCAAACGAAATCTTACCCATATTCAGGTTTAATATGTTATTTTATAATTTTTGACAATTAGGGGTAGTTTTCACCCCTAAAACCCTTCAGCGCACTTCGGTTCGATATAGATTTTGATCCTTGGGCTATCGCCTACCTTCTGTTAAAATTTCAACTGGATCCATGCAGGACGAAAAAATTGCGAGGTTTTAACTTTTTTCGAGATTCATTTCCTGAACTATTATCGTTTCCTTAGACAAACCCGTCTTACGCAAACAACATTGTTGTGAGACAGATAGTTGAACGATATTTTATACAATGTCTAGGTATGGATTTATTTTTGTCCAAGTTTTATATTAGTCCACTATTTCAAATGCAGTTCAAACAGACATGTATTAAATTGTATGTTCCGTTTTAATTTGGTTCAATCTGTAAACCCGGTTCAACACCTAAGAGGTTTAGGCCTTATGTGTGAATGTTTTTTTAATTTTTTTAATTTTTAATACGGTTTTTTTAATTATCGTGTATATATATATATATAATATTATATATATATATATATATATATATATATATTTTGTTGTACTTTTGAATGTCCATTAGCAATAAAAAACCGATATACACATTTTATTACTTAAATAAAAATTAAAATTATTGATATTTCATAAAGACACGGGCATATAAATTTTCAAACATCCTGTATAAGACAAAATATGTATTTTAAGTTGTTCGAGGAATTGTTCATTAGGCCTCAGAGACAAGACTTTCAAATATTATCGATAAGAAATTTAAATAAGTCGGTTAGTGTGGAATGGATTTACCCAGAATAAAAGTGTATATAGACAGTGTTTAAACAATAGACTGGGATTTGCGGTGGTTTTTCTCCCCGAAAGATTATATCGGTAAAAGTTTATTAACAAAAGACATTGAATTGAGAAACAGGTATCGTTTGTAGCTATTAGTAAGAAATATTTGTAAAGCAGATAGATTTAGTTAGAATAATTAAAGAATGTTGTTTTCTGGAATTACCCGAATGACGTTTTATAAAGAGAGTTGGTTGGTAACGATATACGTCACAGAGGTGGATGATTTTTATTGGTCAATTTTTGAATGCAATGGAGGTAGTGGTTTTGGCTATGAGATAGGAGAGAGGAAAAAAGTTAGTTAGTCAGTTTTCGTCGCCCAAGAAGGAAGGAGCTTTGTGGTTTGTGTTTGTTTGAAGTCCCGAAGACGTAATTTACCGGGTGTGTTTATTTGCTGTGTAAAAGCTGATCAGTGTGAGGAACGGGGTACAGAGAGATAGAAAAACCAAAGGGTATAAGAATATTAATATCAGACGAAGCCGGAAACATTTGAAGTTATAAACAGGCGCGGAGATTCGCTCAAAAGGAGGCTGCATAGAATTACACGAGTTGTTGGGTTGCAGATACAAGGACAGATAGGAGAAAGGTGTACGTCATCTGGACCACAATAGGAGCAGAAGCAGAGAAAGGTTTTTTTTTTATGGCGTGGCCATAGAATTACAACGGCAGAGAACGAAAGGTCAGTCAATTTTCATTAGAGCAGGAGTGTGGTTTTCATTTATTAATTAAATAAATTGAATAAATAATAGAGACAGTTAATTTTGCGATCATTTAAAGAAAAAAATTATAAAGAGAGCTTAGTTATAACACATATTAAAAATCAATGTAAAATAACATTTGGGTCCATGATAGAAAACAACTTCTCATATATTTAAAGTATTATATTGCAAATATTACAGGATTGATTGTTATATCAAATTTCATTAAAATAAAGGACATCTCACATATAGTTCAGTTGAAATTCTGTGTATCTTATTCAGGTCATATTACCTATCCCAATTAGGAAGCCAATTGGAAAATATTTTGAATCCACGATCAAAGGTAAATAGTACAAGTTAAATAGCCTGAGATTGTAATTAATTAATGCTGATTTATTGTGATTAATTGGAGATTAGATCATTTAATAAATATAGACAGGATCTTTTCTAAATAACAATAGAATACAATTTAAATAGCATAACAAAATGGCCCC